GTTAAAAGCTTCCAGTTGTCGACACTCCCACGTAATGGCGAATTGTCCTACTTTTCTGGACAAGGCTAGGAGTGAGTGTATACAAGCAGGGCAAGACTTCCTAGCGTGGCAAGGTTAAAGCGTTTATCTGCGATACGCGTATCATGCAGTTAAAACACATAGGCTAAACATTTCGGTCACTTGTGATAAACATGAATATTGTATAGTATACTGTACTTAGATTGTGGGGGTTGGCTTAATCGAAGGTAGTTAAATGTTGGGATAAATCTGGAATCAGATTTCGTTGAAGAGATTCATTTGTCACGTATAGATACAGTTCCTAGTGAATTCTTTCATCAGTGACAACTTTGGAAGGATAAGGATACTAGACCAAGAGTCTCGTAACCCACATAGGAAGATTAAGGAAGCGGTGCACATACATGCAGTTGGAAGGTGCCAAGCTAAACCGGACAGAAGGTTGGGAACTCCCCAAGACTTACCCTTACTTCGGAGGGAGGCGGAGGGGGGTGGGACCCGACAGACCGATGCAAGTCTCGGGCCTAGTCTCGCGCTGTCGCGAGATTAGGCCACTCCGTGAACAAGATGGACTGATAGCCATCGAAAATTTGGAGGTTAGTATCCTTATCCTTAAAGTTGTCACTGATGAAAGAATTCACTAGGAACTGGAATCAGATTATCTTGCATTTTGTTAGAGTCTACTACAGTGCCATAATTTTCAATTAAGGACCTTGTGCTACATTATTAAAACAAATTAGGCTAGCTTCCAACCGACCAACTCATATTTAACCGAGACGGGGGCCGATATAGAATACCAGATTCCAGGAAACGTACGTGCTCTGAATAACTGAATCAACATCACTCCTGAAGAAGGTTGATGTCAGTAAGAGCGACTGAAAATTCGAGTTGAGCTACTCTTGCGTGTGTTGAATAAAAGTATTCAGCCTTATCATATTATATTTCTGTATCTGTATATGTATCTGTATAGCCGGTATAACCGCCTTTTGGCGTAACACACCAGATTGATCTCTAGATGCCCCCCTCCCACCACTTTAATGACTTGGAGACACAGAGAGGTATTTCGCCTGGAAAGTACACTTGGCACTTTTCGACGACAGTTTGATCTCTATACCTAGATGTCTGAATCATTTCTTTTCTATTTGCACTTAAGTTTTCGCTTTTGATGAGTACACTCTATCATGGGGCCTACCGCTTCATGCCATCTAGGTTTGCACACTCTCTTTTAATGTTTGTGATCTTACGTAAGATGAAAGGCTACACTTTTACGGAGTTCTTCAAACGCGCTGTAGCACTTGGCTGTTCAAACTTGTCTTAAGGCAATTTAGAATCCATTTGTAGCAGTCTTACTTCAGGTTATGCTTACGACAAGGTCTGAGTAACGTATCCGAATTTACGATACTTTAAACATCTAGGAAGAAAATCATTTACGATACTTTAAACATCTAGGAAGAAAATCATAAAATTTAATTAATATACGATCATAACGGTAATTAATACACCTACATTGAACCGCGACGGGGGTCGACATCGTCTATCAGATACCTTTGACCCACGTGACAAGCTTCACTGGGTCAGTCTACTGAGGAAGACCAGAGTGACCGGTCGAAAGCTCTAGGTGAGAAAATTTTTGTGTTGGACCAAAAGTTTTAACTTTAAACATGTAACTACCAACACAGATGAACTGAAGAAAGAAAGAAAGAAAGAAAGAAAGAAAGAAAGAAAGAAAGAAAGAAAGAAAGAAAGAAAGAAAGAAAGAAAGGAAGACGAAAGTAAAAAATAACTAGAGTTCCCCAATCTCATACCTTCCCCAAATGATGTTAATCTTTATGACTGACAAATTATACATTAGATTATTCCCCCCTCTGATTTAACAAATAGGAAGCTAATTTTCATGAATTATATCATTTTATCATAATCTCAACCAAAAGACAGTCTTAAAATTAGAAACAATGCATTCTAGTATTTCCTAATAAATTATGCAAATGAGGTCCTGATTTGAATAAATTATGTTTAATGATGTTCACCTCAAATTAACTTTCAAATACCACAAGTATGAAATTCTAGGCAGTTATCATTACATAATTATACAATTTTCTCATTAATTATGCAAATTAAGTCATTATTAACATAATCAATATCTGCCTGTGTTTCTCTCATTGTCAATTACCAATGTCACAAGCTTCAATTGTCTTATCATGGAATGCAGCTGATTTGTAGAATTTCCCCATAGATTATGCAAATTACATCTATATTTGCATAATTGTCACATAATTATATTAAGCATCACGTAAGCTACCTACATACCAAAAAATCATGACGATCCGTCAACCGGTTCTTGAGTTATCCCCTTTTGAATATTTTCAAGAATATATCCCTCCAGTTCCAGAGCAAGCCGCTAGGGGGCCCAAACTCACGTCACTTCTTCCCCAGCACAAGAGCTACCTACCATCCAAATTTCATTACCATAGCATGTCTAGATCATGAGATATCAAAACCGGAAGTGCAGCTGCAGTACCATAACAAGCCGCTAGGTGGTCCAAAATCTAATCATTTTGAGGTCTCATGAAGACCTACCCACCTACCAAGTATCAAGACAATCCATCAAGGCCTTCTCAAGTTATCGTGTTTACAGACACACACACACACACACACACACATACACGAACGCCACTGAAAACATAACCTTCTTGGCGAAGGTAATGAAGTCGCTTTGCGAACTTTTAAATACATTGGAGTACAGCATCAAAGACTGACGACATGCATGCACTGACGAAGAAATGGAACACATTTTAGTTCTGCCTTTTACATTTTCCTTCTGTCGGCACTTTTATCTAAATGTTGGCAAAAACCCATATGGGTAGGTGGGCAAAATAAAGGCTTTTAGACGAAAGTGCAGAGGATTTCAACTATGATTACCAGCATCTTCTATAACCTTACAGGTATCATTATTCGCGGGGTGGTATTACCAAGGAAAACTATATTATTGGAGGGTGACGGAAATGTGGTATTGCACATGCAAAGACTACAATTTCTATGTATGGTAGTCAGAAAGATCGTCATGGTTTCTAGTCGTGACGTGTGTCGTGTAATTAAAGACAGCTGTGTGATTTAGGGAAGCTATGGTTTGGAATTACAGCAACCGTGTTCCATAAAAAACCAGGTTGGCTATGGTCAGGGTAGACTTTGTATTGAAGTTGCAATTTGTATTGCATGCGACTCGATTAATAAAAGACATTTTTTACATTCTAAGTGCAAGATTCTTAGTGCATTCTAAGTGCAAGATTATGCAAATTAGCTCCTGGTTTGCATAATTGTCATCTGATTATGTCAAGCATCACTTCAGCTACCAACATACAAAAAATCATGACAATCCGTCAACCGGTTCTTGAGTTATCAACCTTCGGAGATTTTTCAAGAACGCTCCTGCAGTTCCATAACAAGCTGCTAGGGGGTCTAAACGCAGTTCACATCTTCCCTGCCCCAAGAGCTATCAGCCAACCAAAATTCGTGACCCTAGCATGTCTAGATCGCGAGATATCAAATCCGGCAGTTATTTTGCAGTACCAACAAAAGCCGCCAGGGGGCCGCAAAATCTAATCATTTCTAGGTCTCATCAAGACCTACCCACATACCAAGTTTCATGACAATCCATATTAAGCTTCTTGAGTTATGCTGTTCACAAACAGACAGACAAACAGACAAACGCTACTGAAAACATAACCTTCTTGGCGAAGGTAAAAAGAGTGTGCTGGGGGAAGGTAGAGACAATTTTGTCTATATCCGAGGCCTTTCCCATAACTAAACTAAAACATATAAGCAGTAACTAAAAAACTGCAAAGTAACTGCAAAGACATGGGACTAAAACTATATTTACCCCGGACTGACCCGTTTCATTAACCTCTATGCATTACTATGCAGGTGTATCACACATGCTTCAGGGCTTTCCATAGTGCTTTCATGTGAAGACCTTGAAAAATCATTTCATGGCGATGCCGCGAGTTCATCTACATGCCAAGCATTCAGCAAGCAAGTCATTAATTCTCCTTGAAACTACCGAAGGTCTGGTCGAGGGTACACATTTGAAGAGCCGTAATGGTACTCACCAATGAAGAAAGTTACTACTAATGCAGGGTTATTATGGGTCATTTTTAAGCTACTGCAAAATGTTAAAGGCGTGCAACTGTCAGAATAAAGAGCAGCCGTGTCGCAAAACTTCCTGTTTCGTTTTTTGTTGCTTCTTGTGTAGGGTTCTATAAAATATCATACGTCAAATCGATTATGTGTGGCCAGCCTCAGATGAATGCCTTCCTGAAGACCACATCAAATCTACATTTTGCTACGTGCTATCTGGACTTACCAATAGAAACTAGTCATGATGTACTATTGTGTAGCATATATAAGCTCTAAGACTTGTATCATACTATTGACATGTTACAAAGGTGTGTTGGCTTGCCTTGTCGTAAAAAAAAAACAAAAAAAAGTTAATTTTTCAAACGTGCACAGACGGCGGGCGGTACCAACTTCGATTTACCTTTGACCTGATGCACACGTCACTTCCGGGAGGTGACGGTGGCCGGTACCGACTTCCAACTACCTTTACCCTGCTGCTTACGTCACACTTCCTGAGTATTGCAATTTGTATTATCAAATAGGTCAAAGGTCTACCCGTGCTCTGTACAGAGCATAGGGTTTTGGTGCCCATGTCCATTTCCGTAGCCCTTGGGCGACACACAGTTGTGCAGGGCACTACAGCAGGGGGCTAGTCCGCTGGTAGTGCTGTGTGCTTGACCTTCTCACACTCTTTCTCATATATGCTGAGTGCTAAGCAGAGAAATATGTACCATTTTTAAGTCTTTGGTATGACCCGGCCGGGGTTTGAACTCACGACCTCCCGGTTACAAAGCGAGCACTCTACCAATTGAGCTATTGCACCGGTCGTCCATTATCAAATAAGTATCTACTGAATTCTCTCCTATCGCTAGGTTACAGCCCAGGCGACCTGTGTGACTCTGGCAGTTCTGAGTCTGGACCGGTTCTGGGCCATCGCCAGACATTTCAAGACACCTTGGTTCCGGACGCCTGTCGGTGTGCTGCTTACCACCACCATCATCTGGATCGGTAAGTTAAGCCTCGGTCACAACCCGCCGTACGTGCTTCTGCGTGCTGTCTACGTGCAAAAACGTGGGCAAACGTGGGGCATCCGTGCGTGGTGAGTACCGCCTCCGTACGGAATCCTACGGATTTGGGAGCACGCAGACACGCCGTAGAACTTTAAGTGCATGTAAAACTTTTTCTGCGTGCGGTCTGCGGATTATTCACCACCCGTGCGTGCGAGTACGGGCGACGCGCGTGCCCCGTGCGTACCGTACGTAAGAAGCACGTGTGAGTACGGCCTCCTTACGGTAAAGTTGCAATCGCACAGAGATCGTACGTTGTAAGCACGTACAACTAACTCACCACTTGCGCAACGTACGATGCACGCAACCGCTCAAGGCCAGACGTGGCGTGCAGACCCCACTCTTACACCTTGCGCAACCTTGCGAGTGACGTGCGTCGACGCCACTCCTTCCCCACGTTTTCAGAAAAAAAACGTAGCGGACAAAAAGCACAACCAAGGCTTTAGGAAGCAATGGGTGCGATTCTGTCTCTAGACTCACATTTGTCGTACGTATACCATCGTCGTATGATCGCAAACTGACGGCATAGGTCACAGACCACCATTTCCAGCCCCCATTGGCATATATGGTAAACATCTAAGAAATGATATTTAGAGTTAAAACTTTTGGTCCAACACAAGGGCCTTCTGTGCCTTCGGGAAATAGTGACCTAATATAGTTGAGATAGCTGCGAATGTCTCGTAACAATCTATATTGCGTACTCTTCAGCATTTGCTGGCCAATATAATCCGCTAAAATGTTAGGGCTCACTAAACCACCCTCTGATCATAGAAGCAGATCTTCGGAGATTTGCAAAATCGATAACTTATCTATATGCAAACTTTGTAATACTTGATTGATGTCTCGAGATTTAGAGGGTTCAAGGTAATGCCTTCCGCGGCCTTTACAAAATAACCATTTAGCTACATAATGCCGGATTGCACGGGCGATTGCACGAAAGAACGGGCGATTTCGTCGAAGATTTTGGTGAGTCTTTTAGGTCGACCATACGAAGGACCATAGGAACAATGTGATAAGGCTTATGTACGAAGGACCATAGGAACAATGCGACATGGCTTCTGTACGAAGGACCATAGGAACAATGTGATAAGGCTTCTGTACGAAAGACCATAGGGACAATGCAACAAGGCTTTATTGGGTCAGTTCTCTTCGTTCCAAACCCATTTCTGAATTCGTTCAAAACCCATTTCTAAAATGAAATTAGTTTTGAACGGTTCGATTAAATAAAAAGGGTTTTGAACGAAGAGAACTGACCCAATGAAGCCTTGTCGCATTGTTCCTATGGTCAAAGAACAATCCCCCAGTACAATTTTTACAATCATCTCTTCTTTGAATTTTCTATTTCAGTCTCAAAAACAGCTACATTTCTAAAAAGCTTTCTTGTTCTACATTCCTCCAGGATCTTTCCTGCTATCCCTTCCAGTCGCCTTCTTCTTGAAGGTGTTTGAGTGGAATTGGCACGGCATCAAGCAGCTAGTCTGTCTGGATAAATTTCCCTCAGCGGACCAGTACCAGGGTTACATCATCTACACCGTCCTCATCAGTTACGTCATCCCCCTAACAACCAGCGTGGCCTGCCATTGGCTCATCATCCGTTACCTAGCAACCATGTCGGCCAATACGTCAGTGGCACAGAAACACGTCATGGCGAGAAAGAAGAAGGTGGGGTGGGCAGAAAGATAGGGAAAAGCAAAAATCAGATGTGCTAGCAACTGGTGTTAGCCTGATAAAGAGACTTGATTATTTATCACTTGTTCACTATCTAGTGAATTAATGAGATAGCGACCCTCTATCTCATTAATTCACTAGAAGGAGAATTTTGTTTTCTATCTAGTGAATTTTGTTTTGTATCTAGTAAATTAATGAGATAGCGACTCTCTATCTCATTAATTTACTAGAGAATGATTCATATCTATCTTTTTGTAGCGAAATAATGCAATATACTTGATACAACCGTTATCACATGTGAAAGTAGTTATTACGGGTTTCGACTGAAATTGTTTTTTTTTTTTAAATTAAAAAAATGAGATAAATAGCTGAAGCTTGATGAAGAATGCTGAATAAGGAACTAAATGCAAGAATGCTTGAATGACTAAATGAATGAATGAGTTAAGGCAGCCGTCAAATGGCCGCACACTAGCAGCTAACATATGCTTAGGTCACAATTGCAAACCGGGGCCCGGCCGGGCTGTTTGTATGAAGGAAAAATTAACAATCCATATCAAGAGTATATAGATATAGTGCCCATGATTATCATCAAAAACGTTTCTGTGTTTTGTTGACTTTTATATCGTAATTTTCGTTCCCAAAACCTGCCTGGCCGGGCCCCGGTTTGGAAATGTGACCTCAGCAATAGATAAGTCACCGACTTACCGACATACATTTGCAATCTGAACTAATTGGGCCTCGTAGATATTTATAACAGCTGAAGATCATAGAGATCAGTGACGGAAGCACATGGAGATAAAGATAGCAACGTTAACAACTATAATTCTAATTTCTGCTCAAGGACAGCATTATCTGCTGGCAAGAAAACTATCAAACGATTTCCTGGATGATTCTCATTATACATTTGTTATCATAATATTAATAGATACATATATACAGTGTAGCCCGGTATCCAGTCCATCGTTGTTAGGGCGGGTTTTCTTCGGGGCTGCAAGAGGTCTTTGCCGCCCGAATAATCTAGGTTCCCCGGTTAATTCCTCGGTTTTGCACCACAGGAGTTCAATTAGTATAGCCCTACCACGATCAAGTTCTGAAGTGCAAAACTCTATAAGCAAAGCTCCTACAGGCGTGACACTCGCACATATGTAAACAATATCAAAGAACCCACATATTATAGAAGAAGTGGGTAAATTCGTCTTCCATTGCCTAAAAAGAAGTCAAACCCAGTAAAACTATAGCACCATGTATGTTGTAGAATATAGTATAATGCTAGACGTAGATATAGTCTCATCATCACATACCACTATATTTTCTTTCTTATGTTGTTTGTAACTGCAATTAGCCCTCGGGCAAGTATTTGCAATAAACTTTCTTTCTATATATTGTCATCTGTATTTTCTACTTATTGGATTCTTTTTGCTAATGTATTATGTGTAAGTGGTAGCGTTGAAATAAGTCTTAGATACTTGAGTGCGTTACCACTTTGTGTTGTACTATGTTATTCTGTGTGAACAATAAAAAGAATAATAGAGACATCTCTTCTTTTTTTTAGGTTACTCGCATGGTGGCAACTGTGGTCATCCTCTTTGCCGTATGCTGGGCTCCGAATCACGCGCTCAATCTGTGGTTTGCCTTTAGAAGTGAGGGTGAAATCCCGCATCCAATCATGTGGCTGAAAATAACCGCCCTCTGCATGAGTTACGCCAACTCTTCCGTTAACCCCTTTGTCTACGGCATCATGGGAGAAAATTTCAAAAAGGCTTTCGCTAAATCGTTCCAAAAGGGGGACTCGTCTGGGACGGGTTCTGCCGTTTCTCCAAAGACACCAAAGCTCACAAAGGAAGAGGAGATCGGCATGATAAAGATTGGGGGTCGTCCTGCCATTGAAAATAAAAACACCCCCATTGATGCAAGCAGTGAGGTGTACCAAAATGACGTAATAAAAAAACTTTAAATGTAGCGTACTCGGCCCTTTATAGAGCGAAGGGCCACTAACAGGCTTTCCTACCCTAATATATAGGAGCTATGTCAGGAAAAAAAGTTAAAAGTGATCTACCTGATGAGTTTTAGATTTCAAAGAACATACATTGGCGGGGTTACCCCAAGTTCTAAAGTGTCCATTTAGTCAAAAAGATTGGCAATGAAAACATGCATTGCAATGGTGACGCGACGGTGGTTGCAGTTAGGGTTATTGTTTGCATGGCACTGCCATCGTTTCGTGATTTTGAGGAAGACTTGGTACCTGATGAGTCTAGACAGATACAGTACACTCCTCCCCTGAGTGTATAGTGAACGAGCCCTAGGGTCACAGAAAGTAGGGCCACACGGGGGAGAGAGGTCTTCCCAAGGGTTTCCAGGAATGTGGGCATAGATGTGGGTCAGAGACATGCCTGTGGACATTCCATTCCTGTGGACAAAATGCCTGTACCATTCCCAGAATTCTTGCAAACTGCGCACAAAACTACACCATTAGGCTCCTCCCTGAGACGTCGCCAAAAAGTGTAAAATTCTATACGATGGAAACTCGAGTGAATACTACCCTAAGTTGCACAATTGACCCCTGACCCCTCTGGACATCTGATAGCAACATAAAACCATGTATCTTCTTTAGCGAACCAGACAACACAAACATGGCTAAATTATATTGTAAAGTCGACGCAATTCAGGAGTACTATGTACTCCTATCATGTTGATTGATTTAAATAAAATTGAGGAAATTGACAAAGCTCTTTCCATTAAAATAAGAGAGGAAAAGTCGTATTACAAGACGCTAAAAAACTTTTCAGTCGTTACTGTCATCACAATTGGAACCGACCCCCAGAAAATCCAGGCGTCCACTAACGGACCTAGGCGGACCGGCGGCACTCCCAGCACCGTAGAGATACCACCAAGCCTACGATGGTCTAGCTATCAAGCAAACCTAGCCAACAATGCATATTACTCTGTTTACACCTATAACGTTCATTTTCACACCTTTTCTGTATTACTGTACGGCACTCTATTACTGTATTACCTTTAATTGGAATTGCCATTTCTAGTTAGCTATAGGGTGTCTGTATAAATTTAAATGTATTAACAGGTTAGTCTACGAAGGTACTGTCTTAAATGGAAAGAAAAACAGTCGCAAAAAATAATCAGTCGTAAAATTCGTCATTAATTAGATTATGTTTAATTTCAAGTGCATAATTAAGGTGGTTTATGAGGTGGATATATATATGGGGACAGAGCTGGCCTTATGTCACCGGTGCACCATATACACCGAGGACCACCCCGCCAATATGAATGAAGGCTGGTGATTGGCCCGCTATATGATAATCTAGTATATTACCAGAACACATCGTAATCAATCCACAATGTGACTGACGGTGTAAATGTGTCTTAGTGACAAAGTGATATTTTGTAACTTATGAACTAAAGCCACACCAATTTAATTTCTTGGTTAGCGGATTTTTCTAGAAAAATAATGGAGCGAGCGGGCGAAAAACAAATAAAAAATAAAAACAGGCCTAGGCATCCTATTATGGCCCGAAATGGTACGATAGGAGTCAACACACCAGGCTGGTTCAAAATTTAAACAATGAATTTTGAACTTTTGATGATACCATTGCATTGAAAGATGGAATAACTGTAACAACTAGGATGAAAAGGACTGTTTTCAACGGTTCAGGGCAAAATATATGAGCATTTTGCAGTTGATTCTGAATTTTTATTTTTATTTGCAAATCAGAAAAAAATGAAGCGGTGAATCCATTAACCAAGAAATTAAATTGGTGTGGCCTAAAGTATATGTTTTTATTATCAAAATTACCATGGCAATATTGACATTGAGCTAGTATCAATGAGATGCTGTATGTGATATTGGAGTATTATTATAATAAATGTGTATTAATACTTGCTCAAAGCCTAATTAAAATTAATAATGTATATATTGCAGTGGGACCTATTAAGCGAAACACTAGTCATTGCTGATGCTATCATTCTATTAGGCAAAATATATATTTATAAAAACCGGAAGACATTTAATCTATATATTCAGACGTTTATTGCCCTCGTTAAGTATGTACATAGAGGAGAAAAATAAAATATTGTGACAGCTAAAAACAAAATATGTAAAAACAACAAAAAGTGGGAACCTTATACATTGTACCTTGTGTTGTAGTATTACTGATTGCTACTAGTTTTTATTTGTCAGTGTATGTAGGCTTGTATGTTCTTGTTTTAAGCTTTTTGTTTCTTCTTATCTGAATGAAGTTTGAAAAATAACATTTTAGAAGTAACAGCCCAATGCATGCACTTTGAAATTAATCTCATTAACCTCATTAATAAAAACAATCAGAAAACATTGAATCATAATTACATAAGAAGGATGCTTGTGTCTCATATTCTATTTCATTCCTCCTAAAGAGTAGAATTCATATTCTATGCCATGATGCAAATGATATACGGGAAATGATGCAACAAATAAAAGAATCCGACAATTTACGTATCAAATCATCATTGAACTAGAAAAAAGTAATACAAGTAGTTAATAAGCAAATGCATAATGTTTACCTTCACATAGGGATGGTTTAACTCAACTAGCTAGCCCCTTGACCTCTGTCCTGCCACTTGCTACCTAATGTAATCAAATACCACAGGGTGTCTGCTACAGCACCAGTTACCATGGTGACAACCTTCTGGTCCAGGTCATTGACCTTGTGTGTTTGGAAGAACTAAGTAAAAACAATGTTTTGCTTCTGGGAAGGTAAATATAATTAAGACTATATAATGAGTTAGATAAATTGTGAATGTACTATCTTGAGTTAAAATGTTATGGTCAAACTGCGTGAGCATCTAATTTCATCTTCAAGCTAGGAAAACATTAATTTTGCAGCCTTTACAATCAGAGAATACCATTAAATATCTATTCACACTTATTTTACCAAATATACACAAAGATATCAGTGATCTCAAAATATTTACAGCTCTGAAGCTCTAATAATTAATTGGAGAACGAAAATTGAAACATCCAGAAATAAGATTGACCTGTAAATATAGAATGTATACAATGTACATATATCCCCACTTGTTGCAAAGGGCAAAAAAAAACCAATTACAAAGTGCTTTTTTTTTCAAATTTTGCCAAATTTCATCTGATTAGCATTAGGATAATGTATTCATATTTCAGTCCATACCACGGTATGGATGAAACATATTGTTTTTCTATTTCATGTTTTGTGGACTTTCATGTGCCTGGTTAAGTGTGACTTGTAGGCAGTTGGGATATACTAGTAACCCAATTATCAAGTGCATTTTTTTTCTTCAAATTTTGCCAAATTTCATCTGATTAGCATTAGGATAATATATTCATATTTCACTCCATACCATGGTATGGATGAAACATATTGTTTTTCTATTTCATGTTTTGTGGACTTTCATGTGCCTGGTTAAGTGTGACTTGTAGGCAGTTCTATAGTCACAATTCTCACACGAAAATGGTGAGTTTCCAACTGGATCTTCTGTACTGCAGCATAGTTGCAGTGTTCACATTTATACGGCCTGTTACCCGTGTGAGTGTTCATATGTCTCTCCAGATGAGACTTAAAGATGGCGGCAAAACTGCACAACTTACACTTGTAGGCTTGCTAAATTTCATCCGATTAGTGTTAGGATAATATTTCACTCCATACCATGGTATAGATGAAATATATTGTTTTTCTTTTTCATGTTTTGTGGACTTTCATGTGCCTGGTTAAGTGTGACTTGTAGGCAGTTCTATAGTCACAATTCTCGCACGAAAATGGTTTCAGCCCTGAGTGTTGGTTCATGTGAGTTTCCAACTGGATCTTCTGTACCGCAGCATACTTGCAGTGTTCACATTTATACGGCCTGTTACCCGTGTGAGTGTTCATGTGTCTCTCCAGATGAGACTTAAAAACTGCGGCAAAACTGCACAACTCACACTTGTAGGGTTTATCCCCTGTGTGCGTTTTCATGTGCGCAACCAGATTAGACTTGATAGCAGTCCTATACCCACACTCCCCACATACAAGCGGCTTGTACGTCACTTTGTGACTGATCATGTGTACATCTAGATGGCTTTTTTGGCTCCCTCTGTAGCTGCATAGCTCACACTTGTACGGTTTCTTACCCAAGTGGCTCCTCATGTGTGTTGTAAGCCTGGATTTCAAAGCTGCTTTGTAAGGGCACTTGTCACATGTGAATGGTTTCTCACCAGTGTGTTCTTTCATGTGCAACTTGAGTTGGGTCTTGTTAACAGTTGAGTAGCTGCACTGATAGCACCTGTACGGTTTTTCGCCGCTGTGACCTTTCACGTGTTTCACAACCGTGGACCGACTCCCCGTACGAAAGCCGCACTCGCCGCACACGTAAGGCTTGTCTCCCGTGTGTGCCGCCAGGTGGCTTACTAAGTGGGATTTTTGTGTAGCAGCGTAGTCGCATCGCGCACACTTGTAAGGCCTTTTCTTGGTGTGTACCGACATGTGCCTGGTTAGGTTGCTTTTCCAAGCGGTGGAATAGTTACACTGATCACATTTGAAGGGCAACCGTTCGGAACTCTTTGCCATTTCTGCTCCTACTGCAAATTGTTGCCCTCGTGTAGTGGTGTGAATGTGGGTTGTGTGTCGATTGACTGAATGAAAAATAAATAAACATAAAAAAGTAAGCCTGATTCAACAAATTAACTTTGCTTTCAACTTAGCAAGTCAAACATAAAAAATAAAACATAAAAATAAAATAAAACATAAACATAAACATAAAAACATAACAAATCATATTGATAAACAAGGACAAAAGTAAGTGGCACTACACTCAAGTAATCAAACTTGTTTGCATAGTTGTATACATACATGTATCAGTAATCAAATATGCATATGAGTAACTAAACCCAATTGATGTTTTTGTTTGGGGTCTTCCCCAGGCCCAGGGCTCATTGAAAAGCGCCCTACGGGCGATATGTATAAAACAAACAAACAAAATAGGCATTATTGTTACCAAGTCATCTGAGTATGGAGGTAGAAAAAAGAGATGATCTGAGTATGGAAGGTGCTAGAGTGTGCCCTGCGAGATATGGCCGAGTGTGCCCACAGGGAAACGAACTTGGAAGATTCGAGGACGAATCTCAGACAAGAGAGGGAGTAGTGTAACAGCGAGTATGTAGGCGTCACTAACTACCCGCACAATGGATCCTGGATCTGTTGGCTGAATGGGTTCGCTGGTTGTGAGCTGACACGCCGCGCGGGCGGCGCGGGTTCGATCCCCGCCAGTCAGAGTCAACCTTCGAGTTACTCTTTTCTCTTGTGTCAGAGTCAACTTTTGAATTACTCTTTTCTCTTGTGTTACAATATGTTAATTGTTATACATAAAGTCTCAGTGTAAGGTTTAGCCGCGGCGACTGTTGCAGGGCTTCTCTTGCTTGCAGTCTTTTACGCGACTGTTGTTAGGGCTACTGTAAAAGACTGCAAGCAAGAGAAGCCCTGCAACAGTCGCCGCGGCTATGTAAGGTTTAGAATTAGCACAGTTAGCTTTCACAAACTGTACTCTAAACCTTATGTGGCTTATTGTCATCTTTAAATCTAAAAGTAGCATATCAAACTAAGTAGCATCATGAATAACACACAAAGCATCATACCTTCACATTTAACCATTACAAACATTAACAAGGTTTCCTTACATACAAAAATAATGTGCCCCCCTCCCACCTTTATGAACATAAGAAAGCTATAAAATGCTTCTAACCTTACATGGCAATTGAACTATTGGCGCTGCCAAATATTACATATTTCTAATAAACCATGAACCTTCATGAGTTCTTACCTTGTTCTATGGGTATAAAGGAAAGAATACGAGGCCAAAATATAAACAAAGTAAAATACGTGGACAAAGAGAAAATACGTATATGGCGGTGGTGGATGACCCCTGACCTTGTAAAAGGTCATAGTTCAAACTATTCAAACCTGATGGTCCAGCTGAGTGTGACTGTGTATCGAAGATTATCCGTATGTGAAAGAATATTAAGTATTGCTGTGCAAAAACTGTGGAAGACGAAATATGTTGTTTTTCTACGGAGCGGATTTCTGGGTAAAGCCGTGTAAATGCATCCCAGATGTTTTAGAGACCGGTTGCGCAAGGCGTAGCCTGATTGGTCAAGACAATTACTCTCCAAGCAGAGGTTTCGGTTTTGGGGGGTATTTTTAGTGTGTTTTTAGGCTTTTTTATTGGGGGTTCTCTTTTGCACTGAATTTTTTTCCACCAAACCCAACATTACATTTCATGGAGTACCCGGTTGCACCATTCCTAAGTACTATTCGCCCATGATCTCTCATGTTTGGCGTTCAAAATGAGTTTTTTTTTTTCAGGATTGAAACAGGAAACACAACAATTCAGACATATATAACAGTTATAGTATTATAACTACAATGTTCGCCACATTGATTTGACTAGACCAAGGACATTATTGACTAAATGTGGCATTTACATTAGATATGCACAAAACTAGTCCAACTTGTTTGTTTTACAGTGAAGATAATTAGACCAAACTCCTAGATAATTTGCCAATCAATCAAACCTTTTTGGTTTGGTTTATTCAGATCTCCATTATACAAACACTAATCTTCCTTGAGTGCACTAAAATAATACAAAATATAACAACGGAATGTACTAAAATCATTCAATACAATAGAATAAACAGAACACTAACATAAACTGAACACAAAAGGCATAGTAAGAATCAAAATACAAATTAAAAGTGGGCACAAACATCTTTTATTAGATATGAAGAAGAAAATAAAGATAGAATTGCCCTGTTAATGAAAGAAAAACAGTTGTAAGAAACAGGAGGAGCCGATGGGTCTAGACCTTTTAGCGGAGAGGTTAGAGTGTCTGACTGGGGCCCGGGAGGTTGTGGGTTTGAACCCCGGCCCGGGACCAGTGGGGTTTTTACTGTCTCCTCCTGTTTCTTACACAGTTCCACGTCTACAAAGCATCCATAGATCGGACCCGAACCACCCCTGCTGTAGGGAAAAGATGGTTCATCCTGCTATTATCTCATAATTGACCGCGTGACAATGGCTTTTCCGATGCAAATGCAAACCCTACATTTACATTTGTAGCCAATTGTGGCGTCCGGTGAATCGGCGGTAGGAGTCAGACTAATCACTGGCTAGCTTGCATGACGAACACAGCAACGTTTTTGCGCAGTCTGCTTCTCTTCTTCATTCTGACCAGGTAAGCTAACTATTAATTACTGTCCCTAAGTATGAGGTATCATAGTAACAAGTTATCTGTAGTGTAGGTACGTAGGTACGGTTCTTACCCGGTACAGCTTCAACACTGACGCCAGACTGTTTTCATTTACAACATACAAGAACAAAGAAACCGATTTAACCAAGACTAAACCAAGGAGGTTTTGAAACCTTCTCGATCAAAGTGATATGTTTTTTTTATTAAAGTAACACTCTTCCTACCAAATGTTAACCATTTTTTTTTACCAAACCAAGACCAAACCACCTCGGAGTGGACTTTGGGTAATCTCCAAGCAGATTCGGGGGGGGGGGCATGGGGACTTTATGTTTGCCGCCTGTATCCATATAGGCCGCCTGTATATATCCAACGTTCGCAAGGGGCGATCTGAAACAATTGCCCTTTATTATAACTCTGGGACATGTCATTGGCCCCTTCCATTCTAGCAAGGATACATAGTATAAACGATAAAGACACTGAAATTGCAGCTATTAGCGTCCATGGTGCCTGTTCAGTATCCCTATTCACGATTCAAATACATGTAATTCGCCAAAATTCTTTCTTTCACGTCTTTGTCAGTAGTAACATCTTTTTTTACATTTCTCAAAGTTGCTCGGCCATGATTAATTGCGGAGAGGATGTAGAACTCGGGAGCTATAATAGGTTTGGTAACCAGGCTACACATTCATACCTCTGGAAGACACAACTGCGTGTCTAAACGTGTTTCACACTGAAATGTGGGGATTTAACCATAGTGATAAGTGCCAGCTGTCTCTGGTACAATGGTTTGCTTTGACATTTGATGTTTTTGAAAAAGCGTTATAATAGCCAGTGTCCTCACTATGAGACCGAAAGAAACAGATCATTTCAGACAGTTACAACAATCTCTCAATCATTTCGTCCTTTAGAAGATCACCAAAAGACTACCTTTCTACTAAGATCACAAAACCCACTAATTATGCAGAATGTGGGACTATTCATTATCCACTGCCTTCAAAGAAGAAGTCGAACCCCACAATAGCTAGCGTAGTAGTAGAAGTAGAAGTTTTTCCAGACAGATTGTTACCTGTCTCCTGTTACTGTATTGCAACGAGTATCATACTTGATTGTACAAGCAATTAGCCTTCGGGCATGATTTTGCAAATAAAGCTTACTATATGTATAATAGGCGAACCTTTTCCGCTCGTCCCATCATCAGATTATCTGGTATCTGTTCCTATTATCTAGGTAGACAATACCATGTAGATGTAATAAGCAGACTTACCTATAATTTGAACTTTTGAAAATCTCTCTTTTGTGAAGTATTGAGTCCTGTGTACGTGTCACAGATAGAGGTGACAACACCGGTATAGGGACCAAAATAAGGGAAGCAACTACTGTAATTCCTGATTTTTTACGCGGTATTTTTACGGTCGCGGTTTTCGCGGTTCTGTAATACGTTATAAAGATTTTTAATCTTTGAGAAGCGGCTTTAATTTGGCGCTTGCGAAAAAATGCGTAAGTTTTCAGAAGGGGTCTGTCGTTCTGACCACTTTGGGCGATCTGAAATCACTTGAGTGACCTGACGGCCAGGGAAAAAAACCTAAAACCGTTTATACTATCCGTATCTGTATCGGTATAGCCGCTATAACCGCCCTTCGGCGTAACACAGCTTCAGCTTCACAGGCACGCGGCGCGGCGGCAGCTAGCTATATCACACCGAACGGCTTGTTACACTCAATCTTTGCACATTTGATTGCAGGAGTTGTTTAAAGTTTTCTAGTCATGATGCCCCAACTGTGCTTGGTGGCAACGAGTTCCAGTCTACGATAGCTAAGTTATACTCAATACTTTACGTTAAGTTTTAGTTAAGTTATACTCAATATGTTGTAACTTAACTTTGCAAAAAGCTAACGTTCATAACTGGTAATCTCCAAGCAGATTCGGTAGGGCAGGAGTCGCCTGTGTATCCATTTACCGCCTGTTTCCAACGTTCGCTTGGAGATCACATAACTGGTGAAGGGACCTGCTGTTTAATTCCCCTTCCGACAGTCAAAATGGCGGCTGTGAAGTTTGAGAAACGTTTCCTGCTCCTGGCCATCTCTGTTCTGGAGATGTTGCTGTTTTCTGGTATCATCTATGGATGGACGTCGCTTGTGTACATCCTTAAACAGGAGGGGTACTTCAGCGACCTCTGTGTCACCACACCAGCAAACAACACGGAGCAAAGTACACAGGTAAGGAAACCGATAAACAAGGCGATAATCTTCGTCAATTTACAATCACGTACAGAGGCCCAACAATTTGGAACAACCTAAGTAGAACTTTACAAATCAGTCCCTCCGTCACCATTTTCAAAAATCATACTAAAGTAACTTTCATAAATAACCCCACACATTCTTAATTTTTGTTTATGTTTCCTTGCTTACTACTTTTCATTACTATTTTTCATTATTGTAGATAGTATTGTATCGTATTGTATTTTATTGTTTTGTTTCATTTACCCGTTACCTAGTAAGTTATTTCTTATTTATCCGATTTATTTGAATTGTTAATTACGTTATGAAGGGAGGCCTCCTCATAAGCATTTTATGCTTCCGGCCTCCCTGCACTGTTACATTTCATTTATATTTTTTTGTATCTGTATTGTTACATTTTGTTTTAAAGTGCGAATAAAAACTGAACTGAACTAAACTGAAGGCTACAACCGCTAACAGAACTATCTCTTATCATCAAACACTTACCGACAAAAGCACACAAATGACACCAATTACTAAGGCCATGTTGATTTGATTATATTGGTGACATTCGCGCGCGCATGAATTTCCGGCCGTTTCAAAAAAAAATTCAACCATACTGTAAATCGTACAAAAAAAAAGTTGCAAAATGAGCAAATGTATACCGCAAGTTTTAAAAAAAAGAATATTGGAAAACGATACCAATGTCGTAGAATGCCAAAATATAACGAAAATCAAACTCAAAATCAAACAAAATCAGACGAAAATGTATTGGAAGAGTAGATTATAACCCGAACTCTTTGGATTTAAGATCAGCTGCCATGTTTCGTCAAACAACTTTACCCAGGATGCATCGTGTCACCGGTACCCAGAATGCCTTGCACAGGATGAGACTCTGACGCAAGTGTTCGCCATTTCCGTTGTCGCCAGTCAAGTTGCCTCGTTGTTCGCAGGGATAGCTCTCGACTACTTCGGCCTTCGTTTCACTAGGACGTGCTTTAGGTATGTCAAGTCTAGATCTTTGTACAATGTTGGACTCAATTCCAACACAACGAGAACAGAGAGATCAAAATTTCAACAACCACTGTCGCCTTCATCAGGATAATTAATGACCAATCACGAACGTAAACTCGCGAGAGTTACGGTTATGGACACGTGACCTTATTCACACGAGACTTTACGGATACGTGACGTCAGCAATTGATCAAACGTTGTGTTGGAATAAAGTTCAACTATTAAAAGTTGTACTATGATTACTAACAACTCGGATGAACTTTCATGATAAGTGTAGATCTTTGTTTATCCATTTTTTTGCTTGCTTAAGGCTTACTTGATGATTGAACTTTGTCTCTGACCAGCCGTTATCTGTCTAACATTTCCAGTTCATTAATGGCCACAGCCGCATTGTTCCTTGGATTCTCATCAAAAGGTACGCACTTTCATTTCAATATTTCATTTCATTTATTGGTGATGCCACAATGCATTACAAGTGGGAGCCAGGCAGCCTAAAGGCTGGTGGCGGCTGCCACTGGTACATACAACACAACACAACACAACACAGGACAAGTCAATACAATATACAGGACCTAACAACAAGTTACGAATATCCAAATAGCAAAACAAAACAGTGCATTATACAATATCGAGGACACATCATCATCAAATTAATATAGTAATCATAAAAATATCTATCGTTGCAATATCAGAGATTTCAGCATTTACCAAGCACTTATCATTTGTAACTAACAACAAACAAATGTAACATAATGCAACATATAAAAACAAAATTTCCTGACTTTTTAACAAACTAGTATCTTAAATCTATTTTGTTGACAATTTTAGAAGACTAAATTTAGCACGTATATATAAGTCCGCATATTTCTGTACGCCCTAAACAAGGGATAACAATGTTGCTAGATATTCTTTGTTTCTTATTTCTCAAAGAAGCAAATACATAGAGCGATGCATAAACCAGAAACGATCGTCAAATACAATAATGGTAAGAGGAATAGCATTATAAAAAAATTATATTTAATAGATAAATACTTGTTTACAATTTTGTTATTTGTTTGTCTTGACTAGAGTACCCGTATGTCTACCTCCTGTACCCCGGTATGATCCTTGTCGGCATGTGCGCTAACATCACTCTTCTCGCAAATATAACGGTAAGTTGCAGTTTCTATATTTTTTAAGATAAAACATTTTTAAAACACAATACATGGTGACGCCTTAAGTTTTTTTTTCAACTTACTTTTAATGCCACCACCAACATAGAGGGCAATACAGTACTCATTTTCATTTGAGTGAAGTGAGGAAAGTCGTGTAAAGTGCCTTTCCCAAGGGGAAGGCCGATGGCACGGCAGGGTTCGAACCCGGGACCTCTTGGTTCTGAGACGAGCACACTGCTGCCACGCCACACGACCTATAAGCTTTTGTAACCACGGATTGGCAGGATTTAGGAAGGTCCAAAAAACAGGTACTGCAACTGAATTTGGGGACCGATTTAGGGATACTCACCACAATACAAGACAATCCTTTCCGTAACAAGACAATTGTATGTTGCACAAATAGTTCGTGATGGTGTGATGATCTGTGACTGGCCGCCCTTAGACACCTGAACGACATATTACACACCTGTCCTCTCTTAGGTTGGAAACTTATTTGGATCCCGGAGGTCAACAGTCATCACTGTCATATCTGGTGCCTTTGGTTCTGCTCCTATCACCTTCCTTGTGCAAAAGGTAAGTCCACTGCCGGGTAAGGAAGTATTGTTTTGGGTGGTTACGTTGTGGCTTTTTTTCTGCTGTCTGTTCTAATTGCTTTTTGGTTGCATGGTCAGTGGAGGGTGATTTTGACAAATGGGTGATAGGACGGTCTAGCCTCAAGGTGACACAGTACGAGTAACTGGGTCGAGGCATTAAGACAGTGGTGTGATAAAGGATTAATGCCCCGCCCCGAGGTGTATATGGTGAGATAACTTCCAAATAAACCACCGAGTGAGTGTAGCGAACAAGGTGGTTTATGAGGTGGTTTATGAGGCTACGCTCACTCTGTGGTTATCGCACCTTACCAGGGATTATCCCACCATATACCCCTTGGAGCGGGGCATTAACCCTTAATCAAATTGCATCGTATCATCCCTCTACTGTTCCGATATATTTACGGTGAGCTGTGAAGTTATGGTTGAAGGTCATGAAAGATCACTTGCACCCAGAGAAATCATAAAGTAATCTTTAAATTCCCTTCCTCTTCTTCAGTTGCTGTACGCTCACTTAGGTGTGCCCTTTCAACACATGTGTGTCGCCCTAGCCTGTCTGTGTGTCCCGTCACTGTTGGCCACCTTTACTCTCTTCCCGAAGTACAAGTTCCTTCCGAACTCACAACGGGAGGACAGGAACGACTCTCAGGAAACAGAGAAGCTGCAAAAAGGTATGATAACATTGGTGTCATTCTTAGAACCCAGTTTTTTTTCAGGAGTGGCCAAATATTGGACATAGAAAAACACAGCACATTTTGGAATATTACAACAAATCTTACTTTTTTTGTTCAAAGTATTGTTTTGAGTTGCTGAGCTGTGTGTTTGTGTGTCTGTTTGTCCAAACAGAGTAAGTTGAGAGCACGTGGGTGGGGCGAATTGACAGGTATATGATGCAGGAAGTCAAATGTTTCTGACTGAAAGCTAGCAGAGGTTCACATTCAGGATGCCAAACTTTACCTACTCCCAGGAAGTCTGAAACCTTTTGTTTATTGTTTTTATATAATAATCACGATCCCATTTCATATGTTTTAATCCCATCAACACCGCGACCTCCGGTGACCCCAAATGGAACACGCTTTCAGTTCAAATGACCGCCGGTGACCCCAAATCGAACATGCTTTCCGTTCAAATGACCGCCGGTGATATACCTCTATTATCAGGCTATTATAATTATGGCATTGACTATTATTATTCACCTATTATTATTCACGTTGCAATGCTTCTTTAGTTCAAAACCTATTTGTTTCAAACCTTTTTACTAGAAAACAGTAGTGAAGAGGAGAGTGAATCTGAAACACGGACGAAAGAGACATTCATGCAGGTTGTGACGTCACGACTGTATCTCCTCCACCTTGTGTACATCAGCATCATGAACTTGAACGTCATCATCCTGGTCGGCACCGCTAACATCTGGTTCAACCTGGTGACAGGAAATAACAACGCACAGGGTGGGTAACATGCAAAATAAACAAGACTGGCAATGAAAACATACATTGCCATGGCGACGGTGGTTGCTGATAGGGTTATTGTTTGCATGGCACTGCCATCATTTCATGATTTTGAGGAAGACTTGGTACCTGTTAAGCCTAGACAGATACAGTGCTTCTCCCCTGAGTGTATAGTGAACGAGCCCCGGGGTCACAGAAAGTAGGACATCCGGTGCAGACAGGTCTTCAGGGTTCCAGGAATGTGGGCATAGATATGGGTCAGAGAAATGCCTGTGGACATTCCATTCCTGTGGACAAAATTCCTGTACCATTCCTAGAATTCTTGCAAACTGCGCACAATACTGTACCATTAGGCTCCTCCCCGAGACATCGCCAAAAATCATGTTAAATGTATGTCTATGTTTAATCTGTCTGTTTTCCTTCCAGTGAGCTTCTGGACAGACGTGTTTGGGGTATTCCAGGTGTTGAATGTGTTGATGTCTCCACTCTGTGGGTTCGTCTATGACCTGGGACTTAGAGGACATAAGTCTGAAGGTACGTATACCTCTTGTATACTGTCTTACCCTACAGCTGAATATAATTAAAAGATATCATCAATAATATTCCAGTCAACATTTCTGTGAAATTTCAAGGATAGGGCGCGTGTTGAACTATGTACTACACCAAAGAATCCTCGCACAGAGCAACACTGCATCGCGATGTTAGCCATAGTACAATCCTGGTTTATAGCTAGTTTAATACCTCCGGTTCACCCACCAACTGTCGGAGCAGACAAAAACTAACCAGGATATGGTACCCAAACTAACAGGATGGAAAGGATACTCAGATGCACTCACCGATGGGACGTTACTAACCAATGGGGTGATCAATGAGGAAATAGGTGCAAAATCAAAGGGTTTCCAACCTGGACCTGTCAATTGTAGATCAACAACCCGAACCACAAGACGACATTATTGCCTTTACTACTATGAGTTGTGGCTCTTGGTTTGACAAGTTTGTTTTATTACCACCTTACTGAGTTGCGGCATTATATAGTACATGTACTTTTACTTTTATTTGTACTAAGTTGACTTTAATTTGTACTTATAAGTTGACTTATCATTTTGTTATATCTGTTATTTTCTTGTATATTTTATTTATGTATGCCTGCAGGGCACATTGAAAAACGCCTTAGTGGCGATGTGTACACCCTGGGTAAACAAATAAAAACAAACAAACAAACATTGCCACCTTGTCATAAACATACTGGTCTTGATGACCGTCCCATGTGTTTATTGTGTTCTTGACCAGCTGCAGGTTCTACTGTAACCTCCAGGCGCCGTGCAGCTGTCCCTGTGTTCGTCATCACCAGTCTGACCAGCTCGCTGGTGTTCCTCTTCGCCACGCTGTCCGTGTGGGACACGGCGTCTGTGGAGTCCAGTACGGGCCTGCTCATGACCTCAGCTCCGGACATGTTTCTGACATTCGTTCTGCATATCGTCAGCAGAGCCTTTATCTACGGTGGAAACACCGCCTTCATTGCTAACTCGTGAGTATGGCACAGAGATGCAAAACAAGAATTCGAAGATCTCATACCTCCATGAAATATATGAGTTTTTCTAAATGTTTTTACACAGTACACTACAGTACAGAACGAAATAACACAGGTTTTTGGTTTCAAACACACAGTAGCATCTTTAGCCTGGATAGGGTCATGTAGGCTTTTCCCGAGGGAGAACCTCATTAATCAAAACCGGGCAGGCGCTGCCTCCACCCCGCACATATGTTTTCCCTGCCACCCCGCACATCTGTTTTCCCAGAAGTTCTCCTGCAGTACCAAGGTCAGCCACCAGGAGGCCCATATTTGACCTTGACCTTTGGCTTCCTAAGACCTACCAGCATACCAAATATCATCACAATCCATAAAGGCGTTCTGAAGTTATGCTGACTACAAATGTGCGGAAACACGCACACACACACACACACAGACGCGCCAAAACAATACCTCCATTTTTCATGGAGCTTTGAAGCGTAAGGACAAAGCGTTCGCCTCGGAACCAAGAGGTTCCGAGTTCGAATCCCGCCATGCCACCGATCTTGTACCCTTGCAAAAGGCGCTTTACACGAATTTCCTCACCTTACTCAGGTGAAAATGTGTATGTCTGTTGTCTGCGTTTGTGGCGTCATAAAAATAACTTTAAAAAAAACTTTGAGTGTGCCGTCACCATATCTTGTGATAAATGTTGAAATAGAAAAAAAATCTTGGTACTCATAACTAATGCAGGTATTCATATTATAACTCCAGATTTCCCGCGGAGCACCTTGGCCGGTTGATCGGCCTGTCGTACCTGGTAGCCGGGCTGGTCGGACTGCTGCAGTACCCGCTCATAGGCTGGATCAAGACTGCTGGCAGCCCGTTCTATGTAAGTACCTTTACCTTTATACCTAGTCCCATCCTCATGTCTGAGGGTCGGGGACTATGGTGGCATCCAGTATCAGCCTCCTCCACTCTCTCCTGTCCCTGGACCTGTGAGAATACTCTGCCAGTGACATGCCCGTAGCCAGGATTTTGAATGGGGGGTTCTTCCCACTGCTTGAGGGGACCTCGAGCGCTGTAGGCGCGAGGTTCCTAGGGGGTGGGGGGGTCATGCTCCCCCGGAAAATTTTGTTTGAAAAATGAACCTTCTAAAATGGCATTTCGTGCATTTTTGAGAGGATTTCTAAGAAAAAATCAGAGATAAATTTCTATTCAATGACAAAGGGAGCAGTTTTTCT